CTTTGAACTCCTGGGCCCAAGTGATCCTCTCATTGAGCTACGGAGTAGCTGGTACTACCAGCATGAGCCAAAATACCTAGCTTTTTTAGTATTTTACTGACGTAAATTATGCTGTCATAAGCATCTTTGTATAAAATGGTTTTTATTTTTCATTTCAAAATTATAGCTAAAAATTTAAATTGGATATTATCGTTTACTCTATTTTTATTTTTTTGCAGTTTTTGGCCGGGGCTGGGTTTGAACCCGACACCTCTGGCATATAGGGCTGGTGCCCTACTCCTTTGAGCCACAGGCACTGCTCTATTGTTTACTTTATTATGAACAAATTATTGATGAACTTAATGAAAGTCAAGAGAATTGATCAGGGGTTGCATATGTGCCTACAGAGCTGAGAGAACAACCTCAGGAAGGATTTCTTTTAGGTTTAAAGGCCTTGGATTATATGACTATCAAAAATTTTATTTTATTCGCTAAAAAGGGGAATTCAGAGTGGCAGTAGGCCAGTATTCCTGAGAGATTATGAATGCCTCCTTGTTAGAATATAGGATAGAAATTTAGCAAATTAGTACTTTAAAAGCCAAACATATTTTCTTAAGTATTTGCTCTTAACATGGAGCTGTTAATATGTGAATAGGAATATGATCAAGTCGGAATTCACATAAGTTATTTTAAAAATGTGTTTAAAAGGGAATCTTTGTACTTTATGAAATTATTTTCCTTTTTTTCTACTGAGATTTTAGTTGAGAGTATCTAAATTAATTCAAATTATTTATGCTAGGCTTATTACCTATATACTAAACATGTTTTTAGAAATCAGTTTGTGAAATCTCTGCTTTATCATTTTTATTTTGTTTTAAAAAATTAATCTAGATTCAAGAACCGACCATTGGAATCCATCAGCTCTCTCTCTCTGAATGGAGAGTGTGGCAGGATCATCCTTTTCCTACACATCAAGTTGACCATTCCGATCGCTGCCACCATTTTATAAGTCTTATGCAAATGATAGAGGGAATGAGACATGAAGAGGTAGGGTTTTATCATAATTTGGTCTTGCTGGTATGATGGTGAAGCTAGAGTTCTTAACTTCTCTTTTTCTTACTAAGAAGTATTTTGTTTCTCTGTAGAGCTCTTTGTGATCACAATAAGGAATGAGTTTTCTGCCTTAGGAGAAGAAATAGATTTAATTAATTGAAGATGAATATTATCTATAAATATTGGTAGATCATTATAAAATTTTAATATACTTGATTTATGTAAATGTTTTGTAAAGTTAATTTAGGATTCTTAGTGGATTAAGATTCATTTATTTTTATTTTGAGACAGAGTCTCACTTTGTCACCCCAGGTAGAGTGCTGTGGCATCATAGCTCACAGCAACCTCAAACTCTTGGGCTCAAGCATTCTTTTGCCTCCACCTCCCTAGTAGCTGGGACTACAGGCACCTGCCACAATGCCCAGCTGTTTTTCTGTTGTTTGTTTGTTTAGCAGGCCTGGGCGGGGTTTGAACCCACCAGTGCTGGAGCATGTGGCTGGTGCCCTGAGCGTGGAGCAACGGTGCCCAGCCTGGATTGAGATTGTTGAGATAATCTCTATCCTATAGGTAATATGGTGTCACTCCTGTATCCTAGTGAAGTTTAAGGAGTTACTGGTTCCTTGAGCAGTTTCTTTTTATTTTAGTTAATTTATTTATTTTTGAGACAGCATCTCAAGCTGTCACCTTGGGTAGAGTGCCATGATGTCACTGCTCACAGCAACCTCAAACTCATGGGCCTAAGTGATCCTTTTGCCTCAGTCTCACAAGTAGCTGGGACTATAGGTGCCCACCACAGCGCCCAGCTATTTTTTGGTTGTATTTGTCATTGTTGTTTGGCAGGCCTGGCTGGATTCAAACCCGCCAGCTCTGGTGTATGTGACTGGCGCCCTAGCCGCTTGAACTTCAGGCACCGAGCCCTTGGGCGGTTTCTTGATTGTTTTACCTTGAGAAAGACAGAATAGTAAACCTATTAAGTGTGAGATCCATAATGCATGGGTTAGAATCTCAGTGCTGGCTCTTACAATTGTGCCTCAGTTTCATCTGTAAAGGACCAAATATGTGTAAAGCACTTAGAATAGTAGCTGGCATTCAGTATATGCTCAGTAAATTATATTTGCTGTTTTGATTATTAGCTGTCGTTCATTAATGTAAATAATTTTTTGTACATCCCAGCAAAATGTGTGCCTTCAAATTAAACATGTATTTATGGAATGCCTTCTATGTGTCATGTTCTGTTCCTTGACCTACGGCTATATCGGTGAACAGAACAGACAAAATGCTCTTGTCTGTGTGGAGCATATATACTAGCAGGCAGAAAGACACCACTCACATTAACATTTATTATTTAGAGAAGCAGAAAAGTAACTGCTTAAGTCCCTGAGTAGTAGAGAATCCCAATTAAAGTAGCATTCTTGAGGAGAAAGAAGAATATTGGAAATTACAGTTTTAGCTACTGATTTAGAGATAAGACTTAGAAATTCACTGTAAGAGTTTTTGGTTGAATACTTTGTTAAAAATAGAAGTGTATTCCAGGTTACAGCCTACTGGGCAGACAGGTACCTTTATTTCAGAGGTTCTATGCAGGGGTGTCTAACCTCTTTTTTTTTTTTTCCTTCTGCCACACATTGGAAGAATAAGAGTTGTGTTGGGCCACATGTTAAATACACAAACACTAACAAAATGTGATCACAAAAAAAAAAAGGTCCATGTATAATTTCTGTGATATCTGACTTTAAAAAGTCCTCATAAAATCAGTATATGGGCTGCAGGTTGGATATCCCTAAAAAAACTGTTTTAGTTCATTGAAATTGAGAATAATTTGATATATGTTTGTGTTTTTCATTAATATTGAATATTATTAAATTATAATGTATATTTTATTATATTCATTATATTACAATATATGAATAATAGATATTTATAATAGATATTTAAGAAATGAATATATAATATATAAGAGTATATTCATTATATTGTAATATGTAATCATTATATTTCGTTTCTTAAATATCTAGTTTTAGGAAATTAGAATAGTTCAATTAAATGTTAGAAGTGAAAAAGTAACATGTTCTTTTTTTGTGTGTGCCAGACAAAGTCTCATTATGTCACCCTCGGTAGAGTGGGTGGCATCACAGCTCACAGCAACCTCCAACTCTTGCACTTAAGTGATTCTCTTGCCTTAAGTCTCCTGAGTAGCTGGGACTCCAGGTGCCCACCACAATGCCTGGCTATTTTTTGGTTGCAGTTGTCATTATTGTTTAGCAGGCCCAGGCCAGGCTTGAGCCCTCCAGCTTTGGTGTATGTGGCCAGCACCCTACTCACTGAACTACAGGTGCCGAGCTCTTTTTTTTTGAGACTGAGTCTTACTATGTTGCCCTCAGTAGAGTGCCATGGTTTCACACCTCACAGCAACCTCAGACTTTTGGGCTTAAGTGATTCTGTTGCCTCAGGCTCCCAAGTAGCTGGGACTTACAGGTGTCCACCATAATGCCTGGGTTTTTTTTTTAAATTTCTTTTATTTTTATTAAATCATAAAGAGGTAGATCATGTATACATTAATACATTTGTGGGGTATAATGTGCTGATTTCATATACAATTTTGTTGCAGTTGTCGTTGTTTAGCTGGCCCAGGGGTGTTTGAACCTGCCAGCCTGGGTGTATGTGGCTGGCACCTAACTGCTGAGCTACAGGCACTGCCCACATATTCTTATGTGTTCATTAAATTTGTTTTATGACTAGTTATCATGAGTTTTTTGCATATTAAGTACTGCGGATAGCAAAAATCAGTCAACTTAAAAAAATCAGTCAATTAAAGATAAGACAATAATTTCATAGTAGTATAATGTATCACTTGATTTATAAGAATAATTTTTAAGGTATGAAAGAAAACTATTAGATAAATGTAATATTGTTTAGAAAATATTTTAATATAAAGTGAAACTTACCCCTGGGATTTGGCATTTTGTTTTCCTATGACTTTTTAATTTTTCTTATTTATAGGGAGAATGCAGCTATGAATTGAAAATTAAATCCTATTTACATATGGAAGATGTTAGCTCAATATTAAGTGCTCCCAGGAATGAATATAGTAATTTTGCCAGTGCCACCTTTATTCCTCACAACAAATCTTCATTTACAAGGACTACAAGTCAAGGCAGTTTATTGCCAATGGTGGAATCTGATGAAGAATGTTCTGAAATTTTTAAAAAAACTCCTGTAAAACCTACCAAAATTGTTTCTCTGAAGAAAAAAGCTTCTAAAGAAATGAAAGGAGATCAACTTAAAAAACAAAATAATGATGGTGTTATGTATTCTTTAGATATTGACAGAAGTTCTGTTGAAAATATTTTTCAGGTAGATCTATCAAATGATGGGAGGACGTCAGATACAGATGAAGTTGCTTCCGTGTGTACTGTTAATGAAAGTGTTAATCAGCCGTGTGTCTTAACGAAGTGTCAGTTAACAAATAACTCTAGTTCATTGGCTGGAAATTTTTTAGATTCTGGTTATAACAGTTTCACAGGTGAAAAATCTCTTTCATCTGACTTGTTGCTTCCATTTGAAGAAGACCTTAATATTGCTAGAATAGATGATCAGTTTTATAATTGTCACTCTTTGACTAAAGAGGTACTGGCTAATGTAGAAAGATTTTTATCTCATTCTCCTCCGCCACTCAGTGGACTCGCAGATTTGGATGAGGAAATTACCAAGGAATTTGCACTTAAGAATTTACTTTTCTTACCCAATGCAGAGCATTTACAAAAGCATGAATCCATTTATTTGATGTCACATGCAGCTGTGAATTCTCAACAGAATTTAGAATTGAATTCATTCAAACTTAGTAGTCATCCTTCTGAAAAGAGTTGCCTTTATGGTGCAACTAGAGATGAGAATGCTGTACCGAGCTTCAGCGACTGGGACGGTAAAGTACATAAAGACATTCAAAAGGAAAATTTAGTGATTAACAATCACGTTCAAACATGCAGAGCCCCCATGGACAATTTAGTTGAAGAAAACAGCAATAATGTAGATAATAATGATCTCTCAGGAGTGTTGCCTGATCAGGATGAGAGTTTACTATTATTTGACGATGTTGATACAGAATTTAATCATGTGAGTCAGTCTCCCTTAAACAGCAAAGGCAAATGTTCACGTGTGGCAGACAAAACTGAGTTCAGTGAAGCAGCTCTGGTCTCTCAGTTCTTAATTTCTGACGAACTTTTGTTAGAAAGTAGTTCTGAATCCCAGGATCAAATCCCCTGTGATACTGATCTTTGGAAATCTCATGAAGACTTGAGAAGTACACATGAGGAAGAAATGAAAAGTGATGAACCTGTTTATGATTGCTCTGGGAGTTTATTTTCTGTTACCTTTGACTTAGGATTTCATAGTCCAGATTCTGATAGTGAAATATCAGAACATGCACCAGATTTAAATAACAATAGGCTTCTAGATGACCTCTCTGGAAGGCCTTCACATATTAAGGAGATAAGCAGTGCAAATTATTGTTCAAATCAAGCAATAACACACAGAGATCATGGTGAAAATTTTACAAGTGGAACCAATACTGTCCCATCAAATAAAGAAAGGCAGAGTCCACGTTTCGGACATTTTCCTCTGAGTGAAGACAAAAATAAAGAATTTATGTCTCCTGGTTATTGTCAGTTTTCTTTGCCAGTAGCAGAAAAAGTTATGAGTACACCACTTCCTGTGTCAAAGACATTGAACCTATTTTCTAAGATGAGAGAGGAAATGCCCAAGACACCAGATTCTAGTAAGGAAGAGGTAAATCTACAAAGTTTCAAAAAAACATTGAATTCAACTTTTGATTATTTAGAATTTTCTCTGGAAAAGGCTAAAAGCAGTGATCAAATCGATCTTCATCAATCCTGTCATCATTCTGCTAAAGGTAAGATTCTATCTTTTTAAAACTCAGAGTCCTTTCTGGAATAATTACTCAAGAAATATTTATATGATTTTTCCGAATGTGATTTCTTATTATTATATGGTGCCAATATTTATATAGAATTAGATAACTCATTTATCTTTCTTCACTTGATGTTTACTCAGATTTATTTACATACATTTATAGCATGCGTACCATTGGGAATTATGCAGGATACAGAAATACATGAAAAAGTATAAGATTTGGTCCTAGGTCTTGATTATAAGACACAGTTATGTGAAATACACATTCAAAAGATGCCAGTAAATTATGGGAATAAGTACCAAATGAGTAGTAAAAGAGTAGCTGTTTAGGAGGTTCAGAGGATGATAAAATTTTGAGTTAAATTGGGAAGGCATTGTACATAACACATTTCCATTTTGACTCCTCAGGAATATTTACTATTGGGATATGAAAGTAATAAAAAGAAAATTCATGAGTTATAAAATGATGAAAGCAATGGGAAAGAAGAAATGTATAAGATTTGGGGGGGATAGAGAATTTATGTAATAAAATATTTGAGAAATGAAAGCTATATTCAGAGGATTGAGACCATCTGAGAAGATCCAGAAGAATCTCTGGATCTCTAGATTTCTATGATCTAACGTTACAGTTATGGAAAAATCAGAAAATATAGTGATTGGCTTGGTCCCCGTACCTCAGTGAATAGGGCACCGGCCACATACAGTGAGGCTGGTGGGCTACTCGGGAGGCTGAGGCAAGAGAATTGATGAAGCCCAAGAGTTTAAGGTTGGTGTGAGCTGTGATGCCACGGCACTCTACCAAGGTTGACATAATGAGACTCTGCCTCAAAAAGAAAAAAAAAAACCCAGAAAATATAGTGATAGATGTTTAATATTAAAATGATTTAAGTATCCATTACATTTTGCTATATAACTTTAGATTATTATTGTATCAGGCCATTTATGAATTTTATTCCTTATAGGTAAAGAGATAAAACATTTTTAGTATAAAATCAGAGTTTCCTCTGTAAATCTTTTCCTTATATTATTCTAATTAGCATGGAATGTATGATTCATGAGTGTTCTATTTAAGATGAAACCATCTTTGAAGCCAATTCTGGAAATACATTTAATTTTTTTAAGACCTGACTCATTGCATATTTTGGATGTGTCTGACATTCGTGTTTGTACTGAGTGTTTGTTGCTCAGGAGCCTTCAGTATTTGCTTTACTACCTCTATATTAAGTCCATGTTAATGTGTCATATTTGCATTAAAACTTTCCTTCTGATATTATAGTTTACTAATCATGAGCAATATAATCATGAACACAGAGATATTAGGGAATTGTTTATTAGAGAATTATTTTAGTTTTTTTTTTTTTTTTTTTGAGACAGAGTATCACTGTGTTGCCCTTGATTGAGTGTCGCGGCAACATTGCTCACAGCAACCTCCAAGTTCAGGCTTAAGTGATTCTCTTGCCACAGCCTTCCAAGTAGCTGCAATTACAGGCACCCTCCACAACACCCGGCTATTTTTTGGTTGCAGTTGTCATCGTTTAGCGGGCCTGGGCTGGGTTTGAATCTGCCAGCCTCAGTGTTTGTGGCTGTATAACCGTCGTGCTATGGGCGCCAAGCCATATTTTAGTATTTTTTAATGCCTTCTGATTCAAAGAAAGAATTTAAAGTCATTTACCATGTTATACATACAAAAATATTTTACTAAAACATCACTAAAGCAGTTAAAAAGAAATTCTCCTGGAATGTGTTGGTTCCTATAGCTGTGTTTTGCATTTCACTCTGGCTTCTTTAGAAAGTGATAAAGAAAAGTTGTTGTTTTAAATAGTGCACATCTGTAAAAATGAGTCATTCAAGGCAGATGTTTTCAGTCAGTCTAGGCAGATGTTTTATTGGGAGAGTGTGAGGAGAAATTTACCTGGTGGGTTTTATTAGTTACAGATTGCTATTTAACAAATTACTCCACAAAACTCAGTAGCTTAAAACAGACATTTATCTCACAGTTTCTGTGGGTCAGGAATTTGAAAGTTGCTTAGCTGGCTTGTTCTGGCTTAGGATTTCAACTGGGGTTGCACTCATCCGAAGGCTTAACTGGCAAGGAGAATCTGCTTCCAGGATGGTGCGTTCAGAAAGGATGAGGGAGCCACTGAAAGGACAAAGGAATGGCTGGGCCATGGCCTTCTGAACGCCACAGGAGTGGAGATCGGAAGTTCCTTTATTAATACTCAGAGCCTAGGAATAATTCTCTGTGATTCTTTGGGTGCTTTGGCCTTTTTTACATTAGGTAGCATGTTTGAAGTTTCTCAGCCTGCTTCCTGTTGAAAAATTTGGTGGTCCACAAGATATTTTTTTTCTGTCGCTATCCTTTTCAGTCATAACTATATGCATTTCTTCCAATATAATTTTCACAAATCTTTGTGGGTCTCTTGTGAATCTTATTGGGGTTCATTCCATTAACACTGTCCATGCTCATAAATCTTTTGAAGAAAAGTACTTCTCTACCTTGGGCTTCTGCTGAGCTGTGTGGAGGCAATTGCTTAAGCTTCTTAGAAGGTCTGCTTGAGAGGGTCTATGAGGAGCATGCTGGAGATATTTAAGGGACCGTTTTGTCTGACTGATTGGTACTCTTGAGGTACCAGTCTTGCTGTTTCTGAAGAGCTAACGAGGCATTTACAACTGCACCCTTGATTTATAATACTTTCCGGCAGTCCTCTGGATTTGATTAGAAGATTTCTTAATTTTAGCATTGTTTGCCGTCTAGAGAGGCTGGGAGTTTTCAAAACCAGCAAGGCCCAATTGTCTCATGTTAAATGGTCCTTTTGTTATTTCTTTCCTTTTGCCTTTTACTCTAATAGCAAAACCAACAGGTGATAATCTTCGATTTTATCTAGAAGTCTTAGCTAGAGTACCTCATTTATTAGGTACATTTTCTTTCTTTTTTTTTTTTTGAGACAAAGTCTCACTTTGCCCCCTGGGGTAGAGTGCTGTGGTGTCACAGCTCAGAGCAACCTCAAACTCTTGGGCTGAAGCAGTTCTCTTGCCTCAGCCTCCCAGTAGCTGGGCTACAGGTGCCTGCCACAACGCCCAGTATTTTTAGAGACGAGGTCTTGCTCTGACTCAGGCTATCTCCAACCTGTGAGATTAGGTGATCCACCCGCCTTGACCTCCCAAGTGCTGGGATAATCATGAGCACTGTGCCTGGCCTTCGCATTAACTACAGTGTTGCTAAACTTTCTGGAACTACATAAGGGATTTCCTTTCCTCCAGTTTCCAGGGTGATTTCCCTTACCTTCCTTTAAGCCTATATCCAGGGCCTCCTCGATGACTTAGTGCTCCTACAGTTTCTTCCAGGCTCTTCAAGCCTTCACTGAAACTCTCCTCAAAGTCCTTGTTCCAAAGCTACTTTCTCATTTTTTGTTAGAGCAACTCCTTATTTCTAGGTGCTAAAATCTGTACTATTTATCTGTTGCTTCATAACAAACTATCCTCAATACGTAGGGACTTAAAATAGTAAATTTTTCTTTTTATTTTTTTGTCACTGTGTCACCATGAGTAGAGTGCAGTGATGTCATAGCTCACAGCAACTTCAAACTCTTTGTTGCAGTTGTCGTTGTTTTAGCTGGCCCGGGTTGGGTTCGAACCCGTTACCTTCCATGTATGTGGCTGGTGCCATGACCACTGTGCTATGGACACTGAGAGTAGGATCCACTTCTTGAAGGGAGAATTATGAAAGAATTTGTAAACATAAGACCACCACAGGGCTCTTATAGAAAAGCTTCATGAAGACACAAAAAGATGTCTTCAATCAAAATTTTGTGAAAGTGCCAAAATAGAATGTTAGTTAAGAACCTGAAAATGTAAAGCATTTGATTTCATTTATGACCGGTTTTTTTTTTTTTTTTTTGCAGTTTTTGGCCGGGGCTGGGTTTGAATCCGCCACCTCCAGCAGATGGGGCCGGCACCCTACTCCTTTGAGCCATAGGCCCTGCCCTATGAGGGTTTTTTTTTTTTTTAAACATTCCTCCGTGCCCTGAATGTGTAGTTCTAGTTATAATATTTTGTTGAATATCTTATACATTTTTACTTTATGCCTACATATAAACACACTTGTAGACACACATACGTACTCATACATAAAAAAGAATCTTTTCATATATTTTCATGATTCAACTTCAAATAAGAAGAGAATAATACATGAAGGGCAGAAAGTGCAGTAGATTTTAGAGGTAAATTATAGGATCATTGACTAATAAATTACATTTTTACATTTTTCTGCCCTCATTTCTGTTAATTTATAAACTTGAACCACATTCAAATACATGTTTATTAGCAAAAGCTAATCTTCCTCCCTGGTATTTATGTTTTTTGTCTCTTCCCATGCCAAGCTTCTTTCTGAAAGACTGTCCTTTTGGGAAAGTGAATACATGTTGAGATTGCCAGAAACAATTCTTATTGTAGCCATCAGTAAAATAGATTGTTACGACTGGGTAAACGTAAGTCTATTGACCAGATTTTTTATTTTTTAAAATAAATTATAGATAAGCAATTATTAACAAGTAATGAAAGTGAAGATGATGTGATTTTCCGAAGAAAAAGTAAAAATGCAAAAGAAAATGTTTTAAAATCCCCTGAGGTGAGTCATTCAGTAATTTTACTAGTATAATCATATCTTTTTTCCTTTTCTGTCTTGAGCTTCTGCTGAGATACTTTGTTACCTTTTATCTTATCTACCTATTTATTTATTTACTTAGGATCAGAAGAATAGTGAAGTTGATTCTCCTCTTCATGCTGTCAAAAAGCGTAGAGTTCCTGTTAACAGAGTGAGTAAATAGTAGATCATGTGTAATAATCCAAATTCCTTTGGAATAAATATTACAAGAAAAATATGTAGATAAAAATATAGATAAATATGTAGATAAAAATATAGATAAATATGTATGTTTAATCTTGTAAGTATATTATTGATAGAAAAATTGATATGACATGCTATGTGTTTAGAATTTTGATAGTTTCTAGAGATATAGTTACTCTAAGCACAATGAATTTAAATATTGAATAGTTTTAGATTTCCTTAAAGCCATCCTACTTTTGTTAGTACCCTTCGGCAATTCAGCAACCATTCATTAAATACCTACCATGTATCTACTGTGTAAGATGCTGAGGATCCTAAAAAGAACATATCCTGATATTGTCTTAAATCACTTGTAATTCAGTTTTTGGAAGTCCGTATTTTTTCATTTGAGTGAATTTGAAAGAAGGAAGGGAAGGAGTCCAAAGTGATTCTCCAGATTTTGGCTTGGGCTCTTTGGCAAGTGTGCCACAAATTTAGAGAAGATGAGAAAGAAATGATGGCTCAGTGTTGAACATACACCAAAGTGAGGCTCTGGTAGAATAGTAAAGTGACAGACACTGACGACTATGACTTTGAAGTCTGGGTAGGTGGGCAGGTCATCAGGCTAATGATACTCATTTGTTCTCAGCTTATGGTTGATAGCTGAATTTTGAGACTAGTAGGTTTTAATTAAAGCTTGTGGGTTTTATTTCCTAATGCAGTCTAGGGTGATTTGTGCAAAATTACAGATGCTTCTTGACATAACAATAGAGTAACATTATAAGTTGAAAAAAAA